AAAAGAAGAATTTTTCTAATTTTTCTCTTCCACTGTTGTTATTACTAATAATGCCACTATTAAAGTTACTGCTATTATTATTATTATTATTATTATTATTTTTATGACTATTATTATTATTATTATTATTATTATTATTGCTGCTGCTATCACTATTATAATTATTTTTATTGTCGTTATTGTCATCAGCGTGAATTAAACAGTACCAATTATTTGGTGACAGTGCCGCCCACAACGCTCTCCCTCCCACGTTTTCGCGTTTCCATTAATCTCATATTAATTAGAAATTTTTTAAAACTTAAATTATATATAGTCATAGATTCAATGACAAAAGCCTACACTGATTAGTTAGTCAGCAGAGTTCAATTTTCCAAATAACAATTTGGCAAGACGCTTTTTCTTATTCTTGTTCTTGTAGGAGGAGGGGGCTTTAACAGGATAACTGTATTACAAGGACAAGAATGAAACAAAAATAAATGCAAGATAACAACAAAATTTCTTTTGACGGAAGAACACTGGTGAATTAAGCATTTAAAGCAATAATAACAAAACAAATCAAACAAGAAAAGTGAGATTTAGAAACACAGATTTTAAAACATATGTCCGCGAAACCAATAAGACAACAGCAGGCGACATTTGTTATGAACGGTGATGAATGCAACAATGCTTGCTGGTAGTTCACTGCCCAGCAGCACATCATGTGCACATGCTTTCATGCCTCTAGTCATCGTCATCAACGGGCACTGATACTGCAACACCGTCTGTCAATTTTTTTCCTCTACTATTCTCACCGCATATGTACCCAGCTCACTAACCTCTTCAACTATTCCCCAAGTTTTATCTATTAGTACAACTCCTGAAGTATGTGTCATTTGGTAACATCGTTGGTGGATTGCTGTGAAAACAGACAACAAAACAATATAGGTAAAATGTGCTGTGGTACTCAACATAACGACATATATGCACACGTTGCAGACATACAGTTACACAAAATAAATATATACGAAAATAAACAGGTAGCTAAAGACTCTGTAAATTGATCTGCTGTTGGTAACACGTATAACACCTACAGAAATACACCCAATACGTCAGTAAACGATGGCCAGGGTTATTTGAAAGCCAAACGACCACTGGCAAAGAGAAATTTTTATCAAAACAATTCTCCGAAAACAGCACTTTATGCTGTTCGTTGGTTCTCTTTTTTTTTTTCTTTTGTTTTATTTTATTTTATTTAATTTAATCCTCTAAGCTAGCGGCAATGCATTTTTAAAAGCAACAATTTCTTACCTATGTAACAGATGACGATGATAAACCGGATGTTCTGCAGTTGGCTATTTCTTCGCTGTGTGTTTTTGCGTGTGTGTATATGTGTGTGTATCATTTTTTTTTTTTTT